AATATGTTATTTTGGTTTTTCATGTTATTATTTTTTCTCTGTGATTTTGACATGTGAATTTCTTTTGTAGTTTCTGATTCTTGTGTGAGACGCAGGCCTTCAAGCTTCGGTCTACTTCTTTTTGTGAACTTTATGTGTCTTTGTGGTTTACTTTTTGGGCATGAAAAGCTGGTTCGTCTAAGGTTCCGGTTCTCTCTTTTGATCTTATATTAGAGTGGCTGGATTGCTTTTGTGTTCAGGCGTTCCCACAGAAGCCCAATTCAGATGAGGGTCAGATGTTTTCAGGCTTTCTTCTAAGGTCTGGATCCCTCCAGGAACGATTTTTGCCTCAGGAATTTGGGAGTTGGACTGGCCTGGGAGCCTGGCCCAGGAAAGATGCTGGACGAGGGCAGCTGGTGGCCGTGCCACCCAGAGATGCAAAGGCAGATGAGGGCAAGAAGAGGCCCCAAGGACTCCTGGGGACTGCATTGAGGAGCTGGGTTGGTCTGGATGCAAAGGATCAGGAAGAGGAAATGTTAGCCCCCATGTCCCAGAAAGAGGATGGCGGGTAGTGCAGGCCCAGGGAAGCAGAGAGAGGTGAGGGCATGTCCAGGCCCAGGAGCACTGCTCCTGGGGCCCAGAGAAGGGACTATGTTGGTCTGGATGAAAATGATCTGGAAGCAGTATTGGTTCCCCAGGTGTCTGGGGCCCCAAGACAAGGAATGGGGCAGGGCCCAAACTTCGTGGGGGAGATGGGAGGGTGAATGAGGCTGGGGGAGTCAAGGCGTGGAGGGAGTGATGGACTTACCTTGGAGAGAGGCCTGCGGGTAGGAGAGAGGCCTGCAGTGGGTCTTTCAGGCCCAGGGAAGCAGAGCAGACTTCAGCATTTTAAAGAATCACTAGAGGGCTTAAAAAAGTACAGCTTCCTTGGCCTACGTGCTCAGCAGGCCTGGGTGGCCCTGAGAAATTCCATTTTAGCAAGTTCATTGGTGACACTGATACTGCTGTTCTGAGGAATACTTGGCTTTCGTTGCATTTTCCAGAGTCTCTCAGCTACTTTAAAAGCTCTAACTATTACAGCACCTAGAAGCACACAGAGCATTCTAAGAGGGGTCTACAAGAACCTATTGTGTCATGGCTGACAAGCATGACCTGCACACTTGTGTCACCTCAGCTGAGGGTCTGGTGCATTCTATTCCAGACCAAATGAGACTTCCTTCTGAACTTGCCTGAGATTTTGTTATACTTTCCATCATGTTACTGTCATAGAATCATAGAGAAACAGGCAGGAAAAATCCCACCCTGTACCTGGTAGGAATGCAAAGCAGTCCAGTTACTGTGGAAGTCAGTGCCTGTCATATAGCCCCTCTCTTCCCTCCTGGGTATTCATTCAGAGGATTCCAAGTCAGCATGTTGCAGAGACACTGGCACATTCATGTTCACACTATTTAGAACAGCTAAGTAATGGAGCCACTCTAGGTATTCAATCTAGGTCATAAAGAAACGTGGCACATACATACACAATGGAAGTTTTTCAGTCATCAAGAGGACCAAAGTTACATCATTTGCAGGAAAATGGACACAACTGGAGATAATTATACTAAGTGAACTAAGCCCATCTTAAAAAGGCAAATATTTGCCGGCATGGTTGCACATGCCTTTAATCCCAGCACTTGGGAGGCAGAGGCAGGCAAATCTCTGTGAGTTTAAGGGCAGCCTGGTCTACATAGTGAGTTCCAGGACAGCTGGGGCTACAGGGAGACCCTGTCTCAAAAAGACTTAAAAAAAAAAGGCAAATATTATGTTTTCTTTCATTTGTGGTTCCTGGATTTTATATAGATATATAAAATCATGTATGTACATATGACATGAAAGTAGGGGACCTAGGGGAAAAATGGAGTGGGGGAGGGGTGAAGAAAGGGCAGGTGGGGGAGAATATGCTCTGCATAATATACAGTTGCAAAACAAAAACAACTTGAAAAACCCAAATAAACAGACCTGACTAGGTCATATGACACTGTCATAGCTCAGGAAGAAGGGGCTTTTTCATTTCTGCCTTGAAGAAAGCACGAGAATACAAATGATTCTTGGGGGGGGGGGCAATAATAATAAGAACCTAGCAGCTTACATCTGGACATAGATTGGGAGGCTTTAATTCTCTCTAATATCCATAATTGAAATGATTCATTCTTATGACAACCCTCATCTGCAGGTTTGATAAATATGTTCGGTACTTATGAAACTAAAATAAATTAGTTCTGACAATTTCAATCGCAAGGCCAGTACTGGCCTCAATTTTAGGGGAGCTGAAATAGCAGGTGCTGGGGCCAGGACTCTCCCCTCTCTGCCAGTAGAAGCAGTTATTTACCCGCAGCACCAGTCTGATGGTTCTGAAACTCAGGGGAGGGCTGGTCTCAGGAGCCCACTTGAAAAGAACAGGCAGAACAAAACCAGCTCCCTCCCAGTTTCCCTTCCAGCACCTATCACTGCTTGGACTTGACCTCCTAGTTCAGCGGGGGATGCACCATTTCCCAGATCATGAGCCTGACACATCTTTTCTCAAGGAGTGCCAGAGCATGGGACCCCGAGCAACTAGACTTCCCTTGTTTGAGAACTCTCAGTTAAGCAGCAGCTGAACCACAGAGGAAAACCAACAGAGTGGACAGAAAGTCCGAATCCCTTGTGGCTGACAGCGCTGTTTCAAGCTCCAGCTGGTAGGAGAAAGCAACCACACCCTGAACAGAGCTGCTACGGTTCTGTTCAGCTACAGCATGGGTCAGACCCAGATTCGTAAGATCTTGTACCTACCTGGCACAGGCACTCCATACACATTCACTTCCTGGACAAAATCAGCCAGTCCTACTATGTCAGCGACTTCGGTGGTGGCCACGTTTTCTCCTTTCCACCTGGGAGAAAGAGGCAGGGTTAGTGGAGGCCACTGTTGCTTCTGGCCAGTGTTTTTCAGACCTCAGTGGGGTGGCTCCCCAACTAAATTATGGCATTCTGTTGGAGGCAAAAAAGGCACAACAAAATGTGGGATTTCAGTCTTATCACATGAAACACAACAGACAGAACGGTGTTCTAATGTGAAATTCATCTGGCCAGGAAAGTCACCGGCAATCAGAAATGACCCTCAACTTCTTTTTGCTGTGTTTATGCTGCTCATTCTTCTCATTCACTATCTTGTTATTTAATTCAATTAGTGAACTATCTCGAAGAATTTCACAGTTGTATCTCAAGTTCTTATAACAAGATTTTAATTAAAAAGGAAAAATTGGGGCTGGAGAGATGGCTCAGCAGTTAAAAGCACTGAGTGCTCTTGCAGAGGACCCAGATTCAATTCCCAGCACCCACACAATGGCTAACAACCATCCATAACTCCAGGTCCAGGGGATCCGATGCCCTATTCTGACCTCCTTGGGCACTGCATGACACATGCAGGCAATTCATACACATAAAATAATATTTTTTTAAAAAAGGAATAATTATACTTTTTGTAATGTTAAAGCCCAGCCAGATGATATACTTTTTTATGTAAGAATTAAAACTTATAGGTCAGGTGTGTTGGCACACATTTCTTAATACCAGCCCTCTGGAGGTAGAAGTAAGGTGAGTTTGAGACCAGCCTGGTCTACACAGAGAATTGGAGAATTCCAAGCCAGCCAGGACTATGCAGTGAAGATCCTGTCTCACAAAAAGAAAAAATAATTAAATTTTGTCTTACAAAAAAAAATCTTTAGATCTCACAAAGGTATCTTTTTGCACATGTTCATGTGTGCATATGCATGTATGTACACATGTGTGTGGAGGTCCGAGAGCAACCTAGAGTATTGTTCCTCAGGTGCTGCCCCCCTTTTTCTAAACACAGGCTCTCTCCAGCCTGGAGCTCACAGGGATATAGCTGTTCCTGTCTCCCAAGTGCTGGGATTACAAACATGTACCATCATAACCAGCCTTTTTGTGTTTGTTTTGAGACAGGGTCTCCCTGTGCCCCCAGCTGGCCTGGAACTCACTATACAGACCAAATAGGCCAGCCTCAATCTCACAGAGATCCACCTGCTTCTGTCTCCTAAGTGATGAGATTAAAGGTATGCGCCACCATGCCTGGCATGCCCAGCTTTTTAATAATTCAGGTTCTGGAGATTGAACTGAGGTCCTCATGCTTACAAGGCATGTACTTTATTGAATGAGCTGTCTCCCCAGCTCCCAGAAGTATCTTAATAACATGTGGGTGGTATAAAATTCCCTGAGTCAGGGAGAGAATAAGCATTCTCATGAAATGAATGAAAAGAACTGAGGTCAAGAATGATTATCTTATGGTATCTTGCAGACAAGATTTGTTTTTATCGTAAGGTAATAATATTAAAGAGAAGATGGCTACCTGCCTCAATAGCACTGCTGGCCAGGGTTAGGGTGAGTCTGGGAGCTCATTGGTTCTCATTCAGCCTTAATCTTTCTACTGCAGTCAGACAATATCCAGTCCTCATTAATTCACTCAAAAGGCAATCATGTGGGGCTGGAGAGATGGTTCAGCAGTTAAGCAAACTGGCTGCTCTTGCAGAGGACCCGGGTTCAATTCCCAGCACCCACATGGCAGCCAACAACTGCCTGTAACTCCAGTTCCAGGGTAATTTGACCTCCTCGTCTGACTTCTGTGGGCTTGGCACAACACAGGTGCACAGGAAATATACTCATACACATAAAATAATAAAATGTAATAAGCAAAATACTTTAAAAAGTAGTCGTGTGTATCAGGTACTGTGCTAGGTCCTGCCTATCGTCAGGGAATTTACACAGGAACGAAGCCTACGCCATGAAGCTAGAGGACAGGGCTACTGTTAGAAATTCATTGTCATCACTTTCAAGAATGACTTTCACGCTTTTTTTATGCTAGCCCGGGGGCTCTCTGGGAAACTAGTTGGTTGGAAATAGAGGACGGAAAGAAGAGAGATGCATAAGGTCTCGCCACCTCTCACCTCTTCAATCAGAGCAACTCCACATTAATTTGCACTTGATTTAATTTAAAAACAAAAAGCTATACAACTAGAAATAGTGTGGAAATCCCTGACAATCCTGAGTGGCCACCAAAAATGCAGGGCAAGAGAGGCAGACAGAAGTCTCCTGCCTTCTCATTTGATGTTGCTTAAGCACAGCAGCTGTGTGTTGAGGGACGTTTCATCACTCCACCTCTGTTCTTGGGAGTACAGGAGGTGAACCGGCTAAGAGACAGGAGGAAATGAGGCGGCACACCCAAAGTGGAAACCGATCCCAACTTAGGAATAAGCCAAATTGTGCATGTGTTTGTTTTGGGCTCAATAATTCAGAGAAACCAACCGGAATGTATCGCCAACTCTGTCGTGAAAATAGATGAAATCTTCATGATCAATCATTAAGAGATCTCCACTGTTGAAATAGAGGTCCCCCTTCTTAAAAACATCTCTTAGTTTTTTCTTCTCTGTCTGAGACTTTCCTCCAGCATAGCCATTAAATGGTGTAAGTTGTGTGATTTTGCAAATCAGGAGTCCAACCTCACCTAGGTCAGAAAAAAGTAAATTGTTATTTTTGTGTTAGAGGTAAGCAGGCTTGTTAGTATTTTAAAACTGATGCTGGATAGCCCACTGGTAGTGAGCTGGCTGCAGGAAGTGTCATTACACACATATGCATATAGCTCATGCTCTGGTTTAAAAGTGAAATAAATGCTCCCCACAGGCTCATGTGTTGGAACACTTGGTCTCCAGCTGGTAATACAGTTTTGGAAGGTTGTGGGACCTTTAGGTGGTGGAGAAGCCTCACTGGAGTGTTCCACTTTCTTTCCATGCTCTGCTTTCTAATGGGGTACGCACTGTGCACCTCTCACAGTCCTGCAACCACACCCTCACCAGCATGATGCTCAACAGTGCTGCCGCCATGCCCTCTACCAGCAAGATGAACTATAAGCCCAAATGACCCTCATCTCCCTTAAGGCACTTTGTGTCAGGTGTTTGGTCATAGCAAGAAGAAAAGCCATGAATACAGACTGCGTGTGTACACTATACATCACATACGTACATCTCCTAAGCATTACTCTACACAGCCACCTGGTTGTGATGACTTCATTGTTTATCTTTTACTGGATAATTTCTACACATAATTAGACAAATGCATAGAGGTTAAAGCCTAAAGTTCACCTAAAGCTATAGCTTCGCAGCAATGGTTGTACACTCCGTCTACTAAATACCGTACAAATAAGAAGCTGCTACGTTAAAAGCTTTAAAACTGGAGTTAAATGCAATGGTAAGTTAGCACCTTTTGTAATTTATGCAACTATTTTTGAAAGTACTTCAATCAACCTCTTGCCCCCCTGGCTCTAATAGCATGTGGCAATAATGTTAGTTCTTAAAAGTCATTTAATCAAGGCAAAAGGCACAGTTAATTGAACAAAAAGTCCACTGTACCTTTGGGAACCTTGATGCAATATCCATTTGCGTCACGGACAGGCTCATCCTTCTCCACATCATATTTAATCAGCTCGTAAGTTACAACTTTCTACCAAAATTAAAAATGTTATTTGAGTACAAATTCACATTTTTTAATGTATTTTTATATTATAAAAAGCACACATAGCTTCCTATATAGTGTGGGTAGAAATTTTTTACATATCTTTCCAGAAATAACCTGAGGCTTAAGGGGGTGGAAATAGTAATAAGAAATCAAAGACCAAAAGATTTGCTAAAATGGGTCAACTTTGGTGGAATAATGAAGATTTCCATTAGCTCTGTTCTTTTTTGGAAAATTCTAGTAAGTTTACTGGGCTTGCTAACAGAGCATAGGGTAGGGGTTTATTTACAGAAGAGTGCCCCCTCCCATTTACAGCTGCATTGGAAAGTCCACACTCAAATATAGATCCTGTGACTTTCCCAACAGTGCATGGGTGGAATTTTGCAATTTTAATTATCACCCAGATCCAGATGTAAAACATTTTTATTTTATCTAAAATGTTTCTTTCTGTGAAGTTAACTACCATTCTGACTTGAAAAAAAATTACTAATTTTAATTAATTAATTAATTAATTAATTACTTGGTCTTTTTGAGACAGGTCTCTCTGTAGCCCCAGCTGGCCTGGAACTTGCTATGTAGACCAGGCTGGCCTAGAACTCACAGAGATCCACCTGCCTCTGCCTCCTGAGTACTGGGATTAAAGGCGTGCACCACCATGCCTGGCCTATTTATTTATTTTTATTTCATGTGAATGAGTGTATTGCCTGCCTGTTTGTAAGGGTACTGGTGTCATCGAGGATACCCAGGTGGTGCAATGCCCTTGGAGGCCAGGTCAGAAAAGCGTATCAGATCCTCTGGGACTGGAGTTACAGATGGTTGTTAGTCGCCATGTGGGTGCTGAGAACTGAACCTGGGTCCTCTGCAAGAGCAGCCAGTGCTCTTAATAACTGAGCCATTTCTCCAGCCCCACCATTCTGACTTTTATCACCACCAATTAATTTTAAACCCTCAAACTAGTGAAGTCATGTAGGCCTTTGCGCCTTCTTTCACTTAATATGTCTGTGAATATCCATCCACATTGAATGTCAGTGTTTTTTTTTCCCAATTAAAAAGTGGTTTTTAATTTTTTTTTTTGCATGTCGATGGCACCAGGGGCCTCACACAAACTATGTTCATGCTCCTCTTCTTGGCTTCCTCTCAGTCTTAGTGTTCATTTTAATTGTGATCTAATTTTCCATTGTATAAAGATGCCATGGCTTGTTTATTCTATTAATGGATTTTTTAGTGCTCAACTGCTAAGCCACCTCTCCAGCCTCATCACAGCAGCACTTTTGCATATGGACTACTGTTCTCTCTACTACGTTGGCCAGTCCTAGGGTATAAAAGCCGCCTAGGAGCTCTGGTGTGGCTATTTCCCAGCCAGGTAAGATGCGTGCTCAGAGGGGTGATGACAGCAGTGACTGCACAGGCCAATGGAGGCTCAGCATCTGTGGGTTATTCCCAGAACTTTGTATTGTGGTTTATTGTCAAGAAGACTGACTGACTACCAAGAAAACAAATAGACTGTCCACGTCCCCAGGCAGTCAAACAAGTAAGAGTGAAAATGGAAAAAAGAGATGTCTTTCTGTCGGAGTTATCAGAAGACAAATGCTGACCAGACCATCCCAGTTCTCTTGAAGGTCTAGATAGTTGCTCTTAACCCTGCTTAGCTTTTAAAAATCATCAGGGTCCCACATCAGAATAAATGAATCCAAAGCCCAGGAGGCTGGGAATCTACACCTATATACATAAGGAAAGTCCCATGTAATTTTCATGCACAGCTTAATTAAAGGGATACTGTATTTCACAGCATATAATAAACTTACAGAAACGGCAACCTTCATTTTTTTTTTTTTTTTTTTTTTTTTTTTTACCATACACAAGTATACATGGAGGGAGGGAGAGGTCTGGAGGTCGCAGGTGGTAAGAGTAATGAGCTGTTATTAACAGAAGTGGAGAGGACCTTTTCAAGACCATTGTCCCAGAGAAAGAGCAAAATTTTTCTTAGTGATGCAGATGGGACCCGAATCTGATGCTACATCATCACACTGCTTTGAAGACCTCTGCTCTGAGAACCAGGGGCTGTGGACTCAGTCTCCAGAGCACTTAACTCTTTGTATGTAGTTTGCTCTTCCAACGGCACCGACTTTTCTTGGGTAATTCATAAATCCGATATTGCCTTCAGTGGAAGCGTAGAACTCATAGATGTGAATGTCCCCAAATCTCTTGATAAACTCTCTCCACACATCTCCTCGCAAGCCGTTTCCGAGCGCTAGTCTCACTTTGTGATCACGGTCATTTGGTTTCTGTGGTAATGGGAGAGGAAGCAGACTGAATTTGAACATTCTGAGAGCTTATACCTATTTACTAATTCCCTTAATTTTCAACATATTTAATTTATGCTGAGAATTGCCCTTACTTTGATTTCATATTTATATTGGTTATACACTTACCATGGTAAAGAAGAGGGAGCATGACCATGAGGTTATGGGGAAGTCAACATCCACGCTGGATAAAGACTTTCTAGTGCAACTGCTCTCAAGTTGCCCAAGTTCCTGTCAATCACCCCTCACCCATGCTCTGTAAGTAAGCTCAATAAACTCATTGGTGAGCTTTAATGTAATCAAGCATTGGTTTGATACTAAAACCTTAGAAAAGGGGTAAACACTGATTACTCAGCATCCCCAGGAAGTAAATTTGTTTGTTAATGTTATTATGTCTCATGATATTATTTCCTAAATAAGTGGAAAGGTAAAAAAATATGTTAAAAGGATATGAAAATGTAGTTATTTAAGTAAAGAAAGACTTATGTCTGTAACCTCCAGACCTCTCCTTCCCTCCATGTATACTTGTATATGGTAAATGTAGTTATTTTAGTAAAGAAAGACTTATGAAGATTAAGATGGATGGATGTTTCCAGAATAGAAAAGATGAGAACCATTTGTGCAAGTGATGAAGGGCTGAGTGGTATATTAAAAACTGACCAACTAAGGGGCTGGAGAGATGTCTCAGCAGTTAAGAGCACTGACTGCTCTTACAGAAGACCAAGGTTTGATTCCCAGCACCCACATGGTGGCTAACAACCGTCTGTAACTCCAGTTCCTGAGAAATCCAATGCCTTCTTCTCACCTCTGAGGGCATTGCATGACACGGGTGCACTTACACACATGGCAGGCCTAACACTCATACACATAAAATAAAAATAAATAAATAAAATATTTAAAAAATGACCAATTAAATAAATAAATGCCAAATTAAATAATGGAAAAGTGCTTTAAATGTTTGGACTGCAGGCAGGTACATGCCTAGCATACCAAATTGAGAGACAGTAGAATAGCCTTGGATAAGGCTTCCAGTTACTGTGACCTTCTTTGTAGCTAGAACAAAAGATAACTTGACTGTTCCTCTCTACAGGCATCAGCAAAAAGTGGGGCTAAGAAATAGATTGGGTTGCTGAAAGCAATCACTGTGCTCCTGGTATTCAGGTACTGCAGAAATACAGAACTGTTGTCACAATAATTGCTATTGCAGCCAGAAACTTTCAGTCTGCTCCTCTGGTTTGTACTGCACACCCAGTTACAGCCTCAGGTTGGGTGGATACTGACAAGCATTGGGGTTACCTGTAGCTGCCGGAAAAGGTCTTTTGGGTTTCTCTGTACTATGGGATATTTTTTTCCTTCTGTTCAACAACAAACAGTAGGAAATTTGTGGAATGTGCTCTGGTTATCATTAGGATACAGGGTACTTTCTTTTGCCCCTAACAAGATGACTTGGCTCAAGAGGAGTTGGTTTTGCTTCCCTGTACCAGATGGGTACAGTCCAGAAGGAAACAGTAGTTTCTGTGAGGTTGGTTTGGATCCTGACCAGCTGATTTCTTGTCTATAGGTATGTGATGTGAACCCCGCCTTCCTTCTGAAAGACTCTAAATCAGGATATGGGGGCTGAGGAAGAAAGGGGGCTGCTTTTGTTTGCAGAAGAATAGTCTTCATTTGAGACAGACCTATGAGGACTCTTCTAATTCTTTCTCCTGAGCTGTGTCTACTTGACCTGTGATGTTAGATCCCTTCTTTCTCTGACTTAGACCATAAAAGCTCAGTTTCTCATGGGAATTTACAATGTTAAAGATTCCATCCTTGCCACATTCTCTGGGAAGCCCTTTATGTACCTAAGTCCACTGGAAAATAAAAGATGAGATGTAATAATCTTAAAATTTCTAAAGTTGGGGCTGGAGAGATGGCTCAGCTGTTAAGAACACTGATTGTTCTTATAGAAGACCTGGGTTTGAATCCCAGCACCCACATGGCAGCTAACAACTGTCCATAACTCCAGTCCCAGGGGATCCGACAGCCTCTTCTGACCTCCGTAGGCACTGCACGACACGGGTGCACTTACCTACATACAGGCAATACACGCTTACACATAAAATTAAGAAAAAAACTAAAATTAAAATTAAAAAAAATTCTAAAGTCAAAGTTCAGTTGCTTTGTTAACAATTATAAAGGCAGGCTTAAGGAACAAAGCATATGTTCAGTCAAAGTTTATTTAAGAATGTTTGGGTTTTTGTTAAAGCTTTATCTACATATTGCACAGCAATTAAAAGTACCAACCCACTGTTCCTAACCTTCTTGGGTGTCTAATAACCATACTTGGAGGTCTATACTAATCTGGTCAGAGGAACTTAAGGGAACAATTTTTTGCCCCTTGTCCTCCAAGGTCAACTAAAGTCCCAGGGGACTATCGGGCATCTCAAAATGTCCTAGAATTGTGATGAGTCATCAGTCCTTTTGTTCAGGGAGGCCATGGCAGTCAGAGGCTCCTCTCAAAGCTCAAGTGAACTTTGAGGACCAGATCCTTAACTGACATTGAGAGTAAAAAGAAATTGATTTGGGCCAACTACATGGTTTTAAAAACTCAATGGGAAAGTATAACCAAAGATAAAGTGATTGGTATGTTTCTTTAGGAGTCCAAGGGATTGCATTTCCCAGACATTAGGCTTAAGTTTATATAAAATGTTATTTAGACAATTATTCCTCACTAATGATAAAAAAATGCTGCTTAGATGTAAGACTTCAAATCTTGGTCCTATTCAACACTGCAGTATCTACCTGCAGCCAAGAGAAACAAGCCCAATATTGCTCTAAACCACTGCACTATACTTAAGCAACTGTCTTCAAAGATTTTTACAGAATTGCATGCCTGAAACAGCCCATACGACTGCCCAAGTAGCCACCTAGGACCAAATCAAGACTATGCTCCATCAGAGGACTCTTCTAACAGATCCTGAAGCTGCCTTCCTCCCAAGGACTCCCCTCAGTAGGAAGCAGATGGGCTCCATCAGAGGACTCTTCTAACAGATCCTGAAGCCCCCTTCCTCCCAAGGACTCCCCTCAGTAGGAAGCAGATGGACTGATATATGATGACCTCATCCCCCATCTATTTCTCTTCAGGGTCTGGAATAAAGGGAGACCCCCCCCCCAATTAAAAAAGCCCAATCATAAAGTAATTCTTGCTCTACAAACAAGTCTGTCCAAACCTCCCATAAACCCAAACCATAAAGTGGTTTCTGCTCTGTAAACAAGTTCTCCCAAGACCCTAACGAGGGGCCCTAAATCCTTTACCCAGCTCCCATGATTCTGTGTACATACACAAACATACTTAAGCTCCTCTGCTGTTTGGATGCTGTGGCTACTACAGACTCCTGCTGGTCAGTAGTGATAAAAGTCAATTTGTATTGTTGAGGTTGGTGCCTTTTTTCCCTACCTGCACCTCTTTCAACTCCTATTCCTAACAGTCACAAGACCAGTTACAGCCGAACCAAGTCAATGAACTGTCCCAGACGGATGAGAAGGGACAAGAAGGAAGAAACTGGCTTCCAGTTGCACAGGTGACCTGAGAGGAAGATGCTCCTCCAAAAACAAAAATCATAAAGGAAAAACTCTTTTGTGTGTAAGGACGAAAGAGAGATCCAGTAACAGTAAGAGGTGTTGAGTGGACCAGGCCACCTCGTCAATTCACTCATAACTCTTCATGTGATCCCTACAGGATATGCAAACCAATAGTAGTTTTAATGTAATTTATAAGGCAAAGTATTCTCTCTAGGGGATCACAGCCTAGTGGAAAGATAGGTCACTAAAGAAGGATAATTGTTGACTGTTCACTTGTAAATTGTGCTATTTTGTGGTCTTTATTTGAACAGAAAACAGAATGGAATAGTGTAGCTGTGCCAGATAACAAGAATTTTCCAGTCACATCAAACGCTAATTTATTGGCTCAAACAGCAAATGCTGATATCAGATAATTTCCTCCCCCTCTCCCTCCCCCTCCTCTTCCTCCTCACCCCCCCAACCTCCTCCTCCTCTTCTTCTTCCTCTTTTCTGAGATAGGGTCTCACTCTGTAGCCCAGGCTGACCTGGAACTTACTCTGAGGTTCGGGCTGGCTTTAAACTTGGAGCAATCCACAGCCTCAGCCTCCCAAGTGCTGCGATTACAAGTGAGAGCTACCATGTACAGTTTTCTTCATTATTTCCTATACTTTAAAAATTGTATTTAATATTTTTACTTTATGTGTATGCATGTATTGCCTGCATGTAGGTAAGTGTACCCGTGTCGTACAATACCTGGGGAGGACAGAAGAGGTTGTCAGATCCCCTGGAATTGGAGTTAGAGACAGTTATTAGCTGCCATGTGGGTGCTGGGATTTGAACCTGGGTCTTCTGCAAGAACAGTCAGTGTTCTTAATTGCTGAGCCATCTCTCCAGCCCCTACATCCTATACTTTTAAAAGAGCTGCTCCAGGAGCGAGGCTGCTGGTTCTCTCTAAGGGGAAAGGACTTTGGCAACTAGAAGCCAAACCAAGATAAACTTTGAATTGGTTCCATGGAGAAGGAGTGATAAGCCAGGGAAACAGTAAATATGATTTCACTTTTAAGTAGTGTAATTTATCAAAATTTAGGTGGTGAAGCTCATTGTGGAGTTCTGGCCAGAGAGGTGGACAGATGAAGTTGGGCCCCTCGAGTGGTCTAAGTGGCCAGGGTCCTCATGGCTTTTTTTTATTGAGGGTGCTTAGGAGAGTTGCTCAAGAAGGGATTTTGAACCTGCATAAGCAGGTTGTGTAGGAATCTAATCTCTTCATCAGCTCCATAGGTTCACAGGTTGCTGACTGTGTTTACCAAGTACCTGCTAGGAGGCAGATCCAGTGTCTATTTGCTAGGGTCAGTTTCAGCTTATGCTGTTATCCTGGTGTGCTGATTACCAGTCACTCTCTATTATTCTATTGAATTATAGGGTTCCCCTATCCCCCAGAGGGT